GGTGAGAGATAGACAGGTGAGAGACAGACAGGTGAGGGACAGACAGGTGAGAGATAGACAGGTGAGGGACAGACAGGTGAGGGACAGACAGGTGAGGGACAGACAGGTGAGGGACAGACAGGTGAGAGATAGACAGGTGAGTGACAGACAGGTGAGAGATAGACAGGTGAGGGACAGACAGGTGAGGGACAGACAGGTACCTCTGTGGGTGTGGCGGCGGATGGTTTTCGTGGTCATGTGATATCGACTCGGGGATGACTCAGAGTGGTTGGAGGAAGGGGAGGGGCTTCTGTCTGCTAAATCATTGTCAGCCTGAAAAAGAAAACGCTGAGTCATGAGTCACTGCACGACAACTCCCAGAATTCCCTGCCGCATTTGTCACAGATACAGTTGATGATGCCGTGAGGAAGTTTCCCTTTGACCTCAAGGTTTGATTTATCCATCGACTCTGTTGATTGGCTGCTCCAAAATTTTTAATATGACATCATCGCCGCTGTTTGTCTGAGCGCCCCCTGGTGAAGCTTTGTGGTTCATACTTTTATCAAACCTCTCTTGAAGCTGATTGGCTAATGTCAGATGTATCCTGGTCGTCTCAGGTGTGTCATCACACATCCTTCATTTCACGGCAGCGAATTATAATTATCTCACCTGAGTGAACACGTCTCGAACGTCTCTGGTTGGCTCTTTGTTTCTCTTCCTCAGCGTCTCGTTGTAGTTGTCCAGCCTCCTCCTCACCGTTGCGGCTTGTTGGCGTGTCAACGTAGACAGAAGGGCCTCAGCTGGTGGCGCCATCTTCTCCTCGGTCGAGGCCGTGACCAGGGAGGATAACCCCGCCTCCGTCAGCCAGGTCTCGTCCAGCTCTGCCTCTGCAGGTGGACAGAGAGACAGGTGGAGGTGAGAAAGAACGAGAACCTGTCTCTCTGCAGTTGGCTTCACTTACCGTCCATACTCTTCCTCTCATCCTCCTCATCTTCATCCTCGCCCTCCTTCTCCTCCTCAATGCTCTGCACCTCCCTCCAGTACGTTTCCAAGGCAACTCGGCGGGAGGCAGAGGTCACTGTGTTGGGGGGTGGAGGGGGGGAGGAGGAGGAGGGGAGAGAGGTGGATGGTGGAGACGACAACATCCTGTAGAGACAGACCAGACAGCCAATCAGAGCCAAATACTTTGATATCCCTGAAATGTGAACGTATAGATTAGTGGTTGTCGGTTTGCTGATGTTACAGGAAGTAGAAAGTCTTTGACTGGACCCAGATCAGTTCATCTTGACCGCTCTGACATCATCACTCTGACGTCATGACGTCCAAGTGTCTCTTCTGTTCTTTTGTTGAACGTGTGAAACTTAAAACATTTGTTTTATGTCAGATTTGATTTATTGTTTGTTCTGAGCTCAGGTTAAATATTGATGATGTGAGAGGAAGTAAACGTCTCCAGAGTATTGATCTGTGTGTGTGAGAGAGAGAGAGAGAG